CAACATTTATAATTTGAAAGTTATGGTCATTTTTGTTTAAACATTTATAAATCAAACAGGCAAAAATGGTGCTTTCATTTTGAATGACCATTCATTATAAATGACCATTTTTCATTTTGATTTATGACTAATACTAAATTTCTTCTAAACATTTATAAATCAAAATGAAAAATGGTCATTTAAATCTACAACATTTGAATCGCCTAAATTTGAAAGTTTGTAGATTTAAATGACCATTTTTTTCATTTTGGATTTATCAGACTAATAATAATATTTCCTCATATTTCCTGGATTTTGATTTCTTCACCAAATTATATACTATTAACATTCATTTAATTTGATTGGACGACTTCTTAAACACCAATTATTGCTTGGACGTCTTCGTATTCATCTTTCTCTAATGTTGTTCGATACCTCCAAAACTTTAGAGGATCTTGAAACAAAATCACGTTGTATATACAAAGACTGTAAAACTCGTTACCAAAGAAATAGAAGATCATGGAGGTTGGTGAATAGAGCACCAATGGACGTCATCGCCAGAGCCAGAAACTGGGGCCGAAGCCGAATAAGAAGCGGCAGAGGAGAGTATCGTGAGGCTGAGTTTCGAAAAAAGTGTGGAGAATCTCTAGAGTGCAGAGAGAGTCATTTGTATCAGTGAATCAAAAACGTCGAAAGTTATTGAACACTAAACAGAAAATTCATGTGTTATTGAACACTATACCACACGGTCTTCGACAACACATGAATTGTTTGGTACAGTATTCAATAATTTTCGACGTTTTTGATTCAATACAAGGGAAGTTTGATGAGCTAGTTGAAGAGAAGGGTGTTCGCATTCTTGTGGAAGCAAGAGCCCTAATGCATGTGATCGGTTCGAAGATGGATTTCATGGGTAATAACCTCAGGTACGGTCCCTTTTGCGTACGAGTCTTGATCCTCTCTTCTCTTCAGTCATACTAACATCCACTGAACTTGCAATTTTGTGGCACAGGTCTGAGTTTGTGTTCATCAATATTAATGTATATACAGTTGACCAATACTTGTATATGTGTTGACTATACTTGTATAGATTGTAGAGGTTGTTAGAGTAATTGTAACTGATTATATATTTGTATAAATACACTCATGTACAGTATGAGAATTAATTAATGAGAATATGATTAAATTTGTCTGGTGTTTAATAATCAACCCAAACTCGAGAGGATATTGCGGTTATGGTGAGTCATTCATCACAACATGAAAACAAGACATAAGAGTTTGGTCCACTTGACTCAACCACAGTCGATAAATTTGCTTTGTAATTATGTCTCGTGTAAACTCAAACCCTATGGACGACATACGTATCTATGCCCTTATGGTATATGACTGTGTTATGTTTTTGAAACAACGAGAATTTACTGGTCTTTCTGTGTAGTTACGATCCTGTGGAATTCGACCTCGTGTAGGATCCTGTCTTTCAATATATCTGACATTTTGCTTGTAGTTGGTTCTGTTTTAAGGTTCAAAGTGTTACAATTTCTAAAGATTCAAAACGTTGAACACAGAATCACTTTCTAGTTGACAAGGAACAGAAGTAAAGATCATCATATTTTGTTCCTCTTACCAACACAGGAAACATCAAAGTAAAGATTCCATGTCTCATTCCTCATGACAAAAGAACTAACCTACCAACCACGTAGAGTTTATCAGTTTTCCCTCTTTTCTTTCTTTGACGCATTCTTCATCTTCGACTCTTTGTTTCTTCAGAGCGGACAGCTCGGGTTCCTCATCAATGTCCGTAATCTCCCGCTCGATTTCGGCAGTTGCGGTTGTGCTCTTGTTTTCAAACTCTCAAAATACTG